ATAGTAATAAAGTTTAGTAATAGTAATAAAAATTGATACTGATGTTGATTTAGTTACTGATTTAAATAAAATTTAGTCAAAATTGATGTTGATACGGTGTCTGACTAATATTTAATTTAATTGAATGTTGATATTTTCATGTCGATATGCTTATTTATGATGCCGATATTGATTTTAAAATGAGATCGTCAATATGGTATTAATATTTTTTTAGAAATTTTGATATGAATAAATTAATTGATGAATTGATTAATACCAAAACCCACTTTTAGGTAAATTTTGCAATTAAATGTATGAATATTGATAATAAACATTTTGATATTGATCTTTAATTACATTAATATTTTCTCTTTTTTTTTCAATAATGTTTCTCTTTCTCTCTTTTCTTTAGTTGTTGATTTAGTTGATTTAGGTACTGTAGGGATTGATATTGATTTTCATAATATTGAAGCAGATATTTATTGATTATTAAAAAAAAAGATACAAAAAATGATATTACGTCGATACTAACTTGATCACTATAAACTTAAATTGATATTGATATAAAACTAGAACTTTCATTATCCTCTTTCCTACTCAATGTTGATATTGATAGTGATTTTATTGTTTTTTATTCGATTTTGATGTAAATTTTGATACATTACAGCTTTATCAGCACATTTTTAGCAATAATTTGGATTGATATTAGTGTGATGTTGATATTGATATATTGATATTGACAATATCTTTTGATCTTAATTAAAATGCAGATAGTGATATAGATAGTATTTATCGTTTTTGATATTGATATCAATGTTAATATGACACTACACTACACTTTATTTAATTGTTTAAATTTTAATTGTTGATATTTTGCTTGTTTCTCCAGCCTAGAGAACGTGTGTGTGACATGTCCCCCGAAGACCAACGCACCTGGGAGGAGGAGCAAATGCAACTCCCCGTCGATTTCTCTACGTGTCAGATCGATCCAGCTCCATTCCAATTGGTTGAGAAAACTTCTCTCCTCAAAGTCCATTCGTTGTTTTCAATGGTGGGGGTAAACCACGCCTATGTGACAGCCATTGGTAAGTTGGTGGGGGTCGTCGGCTTGAAAGACCTCCGCAAAGCCATCGAAGATGCCAATAGCGGTAATTTACCACGGCAAAGTGTCGAAACGAACTCGAATGGTAATGTTGGTAACATTGGTGATACCGGTGATTCGGACAATGAGGCGGCCCAGACGCTCGTCTCGAAGGTTTAGTGATAAGGCAAGAGTGATTTTTATGTGATAAAACAACGATTTATTTAATTGTTGGATGAAAAATATTAAAAAAAATAAACGGTATGATGAGTAGTTGTGTTTTATTGAGACCACGCCCATAAATCACGTCCCACTTGACGCTGATTGGTCACGTCGTAGTTGTCGAGCCACACCTTCAGCACCGCCAACTGGATTAAACCCGATTAATTAAACAAATTAGTTTTTACGACTAGTGTTGTTTAATTTTGATAATTTTTACCACCGGTCAATATTTGCAATACCTTGACACTAATTACAAGTCAATAAAATCAAATTTATAAATGTTAATCTCGGCCACTAAAGCTCAGTTGTGATAATGAAGAAACGACGAGATCTCTCTCAAGACTTGCTCTACGATTCGTACATAGCCCCCATACAAACCTACGACGAAAAAAAGACTAGTGACTTGTTTAAAATCAGTTATGTGAAACAGGAGGAGAAAAAATTGAGGAAGGAGTTACACAAGGCTCGAGGTTTTAAAGGTAGTGTTGGAATGTTTGAAGATTTGAGTTTTGAGGGTGTTTTTCAGGGTGGATTTTTCGAATTTCGGCCTATTTTTGGCGGATTTTGTTCGGCCATTTTGCAGAAGAATGGGTGTTTTTGGCCTTTTTGGGGATTTTGGTCGCTTTGATCAGCTATATGATCGATTGGGGGGTCAGGATGTGCAATTGGAGTAAGTTTGGTCAACAAATATTAGGTCTTGGCGCGAATAATCACGAGTTGTTAAATAAGTAAATGATTCAGCCTTTGTTTAATTAATTAATTCGAGAAATTGGTAATCTGAATATACAAGATGTTTTCTTAATATTAAATTAAAATTAAAAAAATTAAAATAAAAATTTCCAGTGGTGTACTTTATCACCCTATATCTTCGTAAGGAAGTTTTATAGGACTATCGTTTATTTAACAAATTAGTGTTATTTTTTGATGTAGACTTTGTGGTTGCATTTTTTTGCAATATTAAAAAACTACCCTGTATATATTTTTTATTTTTTTTTTATTTCCAAGAGACAAATTAGAAATTTTCTCGTTAATTGAAAGTTTTCCTGAGAAATTTTTATTTTTTTTTTCTCTAGGTCGCATGTGATTGTATGACCCCCTCACAATTTCCACCCTTGGGCTTTTTTTAATTAACTAATTCGAGAAATTGATAATCTAAATATACAAGCTGTTTTCTTAATATTAATTTAACAAATTAGTGTTATTTTTCGAAGTAGAATTTGTGGTTGCAATTTTTTGCAACATTAAGAAAACACCCTGTATGTATTTTTTTAATTTTCTTATTTCTCAAGAGATGAATTTTTTCAGAAATTGAAAGTTTTTTTGAGAAATTTTTATTTTTCTTATATCGCCTGTGGCTGTTCGGCCCCCTTGCTCTAAATGGCCACCCTTGGGATTTTCTTTAATTAATTAATTTGAAAAATTTATAAACTAAAGATACAAGGTGTTTTCTTAATATTAAATTAAAATTAAAAAATAAAAATTTCCAGTGGCGTACGTTTGGGCTTTATAAAACTTTATCAGCCTGTATCTCAGTAACAAAGCTTTATACGACTATTTTTAATTTAAAAAATTAGTGTTATTTTTCGATGTAGAATTTGTGGTTGCAATTTTTTACAATATTAAAAAAACACCCTGTATATATTTTTTTTATTTTTTTTTTTATTTCCAAGAAACTAGGAATTTTCTCACTAATTGGAAGATTTCCTGAGAAGTTTTTATTTTTTTTAGGTCGCATGTGGTTGTATGGCCCCCTGGCTCACAATGGCCACCCTTGGGCTTTTGTTTAATTAATTATTTCGAGAAATTGATAATTTAATTAATTAATACAAGGTGTTTTCTTAATATTAAATTAAAATTTAAATTAAAAAATAAAAATTTCCAGTGTGTACGTTTGGGCTCCAAAAAACTTTATCATCCTGTATTTCCATAACGAAGCTTTATACGACTATTGCTTATTTAACAAATTAGTGTTATTTCTCTATGTAGAATTTGTGGTTGCAATTTTTTGCAATATTAAGAAAACACCCTGTATATGTTTAAAAAAAAAATAATTTTCAATAGACAAATTAGGAATTTTCTCACTAATGGAAGTTTTCCTGAGAAATTTTATTTTTTTTTTTAGGGCGCATGTGGTTGTATGGCCCCCTGGCTCACCATGGCCACTCTTGGGCTTGTTTAATTTAATTAATTAATTCGAGAAATTATAATCTAAATATACAAGGTGTATTCTTAATATTAAATTATAATTAAAATTAAAAAATAAAAATTTCCAATGTGTACGTTTGGGCTCCAAAAAACTTCATCATTCTATATTTCCATAACGAAGCTTTATACGACTATTGCTTATATAACAAATTAGTGTTATTTTTCTATGTAGAATTTGTGGTTGCAATTTTTTTCAATAT